TTGGCTGGACAATAGGGAGGATATGATGATTTCTTCTTACATAACGACTACCTTTTCGAGGGAACTCGACTTCGTTTACCCAACACTTTTCTTCGTGAACAAGTGATTTGGTAATTACATTCTAGAGGGACATCAGGTCATTTTGGAAGAGATAAGACAGTTGTAATGGTTGAAGATTGCTTTTATTGGCCAAAGCTGAAGCAGGATGTAGCCAAGGTAGTTTCGCAGTGTCAAACTTGCCAACTTTCAAAATGAAGAAAGAAGAATATTGGTTTATACACCCCACTACCTATGCCACACAAGCCATGACAGGATTTAAGTATGGATTTTTTCCTTGGATTTCCCAAGACCCTTCGAGGTCATGACTCCATTTATATGGTTATGGATCACTTCTAATAAATGGCTCACTTTATTCCTTGTTCTAAGACATCTGATGCTATTCACATTGCTAAGATTTTCTTTAAAGAAGTTGTTCGTCTTCACGGATTACCTCGAACTATTGTATCGGATAATGATGTGAAGTTCGTAAGTTATTTTTGGCGCATTCTATGGAAGTTGATGCATACAAGGTTGAAGTTTTCTTCCGCTTTCCACCTGCAAACTGATGGTCAAACAAAGGTTGTCAACCACAGTTTGGGAGACCCACTTTATTGCTTTTTGGGGATCATATTAGTAGTTGGGATCAGGTACTTCCTATGGCTGAATTCGCATATAATAGCTCTGTCAATAGATCTAGAGGTCGTAGCCCATTTGAGATTGTTACAGGTTTGCTTTCTAGAAAGCCTGTTGATTTGGTTTCGTTACCTATCGAGGCTCACCCAAGTGCTGAAGCTGAAGCCTTTAACAAGCATATTTATGAGATACATGTTGAGTTTCAACAAAAGATTGCCATAAGCAATGAGAACTACAAATGACATGCTAATTTGAGGAGAAGGTTTGCTAAATTCGTTGAAGGAGACATGATTATGGTCCGAGTAAGGCCTGAACGGTATCCTAAATGTGCTTATAAGAAGCTTCATTCAAAGAGTGCTGGTCCATTTAAGGTTCTCAAGAAAATTAGCTCCAATGTTTATGTTCTTGACTTACCTAAAGATTTGGGCATTAGTAATGTCTTCAATATTGAGGATCTTACTAAATACCCTAGACACACTAACAATGGTGTACACCCTGATCCAGTTATTTCTCTACCACAAGCCATATATTTTAGGGAGAAATTTGAAGACATGATTGATCATTAGATTGTTTCAACTAGAAGTGGTGGTTATCAGAAATATCTCATTAAATGGAAGGGGCATCCACTTTCAGATTGCACCTGGATTACCGACAAACAGTTTCAACATCTCAACCTTGATCTTTATGAAAAATTCAATGCTTTTAACTTGCCATGGTCGAATTCGCTCAAGCTGGGGAGAGTTGATGAAAAATGGCAACGTCCAATAAAGGTGTACAAAAGACGTGGGTTGGATGGTTCTAAGGCCCAAGACTTAATTTGGCATATGTTGGATGATGTTGGGCCCACTTGGGATATTGACTGGACATAAGTTGATTTCTAAAAGTCTGCATGACTTTTCATTTGCCTTATGACCATTCATTTAGTTACATTAACCACAGGTTTTCTATGCATCCACAGTTTCATTCATTGTATCTAGTTTTTTAGGAGTTGAAAGTTTCAACATTAATTAGTTTATGAAGTCCTATGTATTGATGTAACTTAAAGACTTTGAAATATGATGAATGAATATATGAAATCTTCATAAACTTTTCTAAGTTTTAAGATTGTGTGATGTAATCCTTTCTTTGGTGTGATGCTAAAGAGCCCCTAGGTAAGATGCCTTGGGTTTTTAGGTATGAGGCCTAGAACTATCTTTTCTTCCTTTTAATTCTCCTTCTTGCTTTCTATCTATTGTTCACGTTTACTGTTCATAGCCCCATAAACAACCCCTAAATAGCCCATGTTTTCAATATTTCCTCTTTCCTTAGCCGCCTCCCAATTTTGCCCTACATCAAGGGGTAATTGGAGGTAATCTTGGCAATGACGATGGACACAAATTTGTGAGATAATATGTTTCTTTCAATTTTTCATAAGAATTTTTCATAAACAGATTATCACATAGAATTGAAATTTCTTAAATGTCTAAGCTATTGGCAAAACACTTCACCCCGATTCTTCTATTACTTATATTGTTGTTCAATGTCTGTATATATTTTCACACAAGCCTATAATCAAACAAGAAAAAAGACTATTTTCTAGCCTAGAAAGAAAATGAAAATGCACAAAGGAACTGTATATAGAACAAATATACATTTCAAGCAAGAGAGAATCAATTACCTATTCAAGCAACTCATTGTTTTCGCAACGTAGAGATGGAGGCAAAACTACTTGAATTGGTTAAGTAATAAGAAATTAAAAAGTGACTGCCCACTGTAGATATGTCGACTCGAGTTTGTTCAACTTCTAATTTATAAATTGATCCTCATAGCAGACTGAATATTTGTGTGTTGCTTGGCTTAAAACAAAGCAAGAAAATATAATATGAAACCATTCAAATTCCAAGGGTTAGTTAATATATTTAATGCCAAGAATATGTAAAGTTAAAGGTTATAAATTAGTTAATGCCACCAGGTGATGAATAAATGGGAATCTTTGGTAAAAATCAAGGGTGTAATTGAATGGATAGAATTTGTATGAAGAGTCAAAGAATTTAGAACAAACACAGTCAATTACTAATTGAAAAAAAAATAGTTTGGACAAACCCTAAAAGTGAAAATTTGGACATTATGACTGAGACAAAAATTTGACGTAGACAAATCTGATGATGATGGCAATCGGCAGTTGTAGCGTGTCAAGTGTCAGGCTTCGGTGCAGGATTTTCTACATCATTTTTCTCTATTGTCGGCTTGACGATTATTTCTACGTGTTAGAAATATGAATATTTATTTAAAAATAAAATAGCAGCACAACAATCATTATAATTTATTTAAAGTGAAAGTAACAACAAGCAATCACCAACTCAATAGTCCAAACAACTATAACAATTACATATAATATAATAATATTATTAACTACCTAATGATATGATAGATGTTAACTATTTTTTTAAATCTATTTTTGTCAAACAAAAGTTTTTTAATTTTGTTGAAATTTAGAAGTAGTATAGATATAAATTATACATATGTGGTTTAAAATTCAATTAATTGTCAAATTTACGGGTGTAACCCATCCTAAATTTAACAAGGATAATATCATATTTACTTAATTTATTTAATTTTACACTATTTGTACAGTAATGGAAAATCCAATATGGCAAGCATTTTATTCCAGTCCTCATCAGTTGATCTGGAATTAAGATCGAATTTGTACTCCGTTGGATGTGAATCTTTATTAGAAAACAAAAAATAAGAGAGAGAGATCCATGAAGGAAATGAATCATGAATGGCTGAGTCAGCAGGTTTTGTTGTCGGTCGCCCTGAGCAAGTCCCACGTGGCCCATAAAAAACCCAGATTCGACCTCCTACGATTTCACCCACTACACACGTGTGGCGGTCAACAAACATAAGCTATGGCCATATCTGGAAGTCATCGAAAAAGAGAGGAAAAAAAGGGAAAACAAACCTCAAATACCCTCAGCCAACAAAATTAATTACCAAATCAATAAACCTAACCACGCTGAAAGTCATACAAAAAAGGCTAAAATTACATTTAATTTATCTCTTCAATTATTTAAATTAGTTTTCCATTACTCTGAAGCCATAGATGAAAATTGAAAAGTGACTATGTTCTGTCACATGAGCTATATAGAAAGATTTTTTTTTTTTTGTTATGTCTATGACTTTGCATAAGGTTCTCTTTGCACCACCATAAATACGAGATCTATACTGGTTTTACTCTCTTTATCTCTATTTTTCTACCATGCATATAAATATTAACACAATCATGTATACAACACTCTCAAATCCAAATCTAAAATACATACATCATGTCCTGAACCCACAACCTTCACAAAAACAAAAATTAATGCCTAAATACTTGTCACCATAATACCTTACATATACAAGTAACCTAATTCCTATGGGCACCACCTCTCTCTCTCTATCTCTTTGTCTTTGTGCCTGCCATGTAAATTCCACCAACAATACTGAAAACCACAATACCACCTAAACTAGCACCGCTATTCCACTTGAACCTAATGACCAAAATAGAAAAAATCCCACCAAAACTCCCACAAAAAACACCTGAAAGGTTCGTCACCTTAAACAACCTAGAAAAGTTCGTATTTGTGATCCCCTAATATCATGACAATCGTCAAGAAACCCAACTCATCTTCAAGCAATCTATGTTCTCCACCATCCAACCCTCACTCCTTCACCACCACCACCCTTCTCTCCTTATTTTCTATTGGATATATTATGTTCTTAATTTCAATTGACAAGGAAATTATAGGTGTCTACACCTGCAAACAAACCCAAACAAAAATGATAAATTTTTCATTTTATGTCTTTTTTATGTGTCTTCGCATAATCATTTTTTTAAGGGAATCATATTTTGCACAATGAAAGATTCAAGAATTTTTATTTTACACCAAAAAAAATAATTTTTTGACATTAACGTATATAATAAGTAACAAAAGGACTACATTAAAATATTTTTAATATAGTGAAGGTGCAATATAAAAAATTTAATATTTAAAAGGAAAACTGAGAATTTTTAAATTTTTTTGGAAAGTAAAGTACAATTCGCCTTTTTTTTTTTGGACAAAAAACGTAACTGTTTTCTTCGGTGCAATGGGAAATCAGTCTAAACAAAGGTGCAATGTAGGATAACTTGAATGTGCAAGGGTCAAAAGTGAACTTTGAGCTCAAGGTTTGGCAACTCAACTGTAATTAATCCAAACGAAAATTATACTAACTCGATACGGGGTTTGATTCAGTAGCGCTTCGCAAGTGTGACTAAATCTCTCCCTCTCTCTCTGGAGGTCTCTGTTTGGGGTTCGTTCATCCATATGGCGGCCTCAAAGCTGCTCGTACTGTCAACCTGTATTGCCCTAATTTTCACTAAGATCAGTGCAGATGCTTCGCTTGATGTTGAAGATAAAGAGGAAGTCCCCAGATCGGACGGCTTCGTTGAATCGTCGATTTTGAAGAACGAATTGAACCAACTCAAGTCCGAGATCCATGTTCTTGGTTAGTTTATTATTGGTGCTTTAATTTTAGGTCCGTTGAGTGCGAAAATATTGCTATTATTTATATGTAAATATAACTAAATTTTAATTTCATTTATGAATCTTTTTAAAGATCATTTTGATGGTAATAATTGGTTTCACTGCAAAGTTTTTTTTTTAAACTAATACTAGTTATGATAGTAATTACAAATCTTGGTACAGATAGCATGTACGAAATATAAGAACGCATAACAGGATAACTTTTAAAATTTTCTGAATGTTTTTATTTAAGATAAACTCTGTTTTTTAGAATATGTGGGGGAAGATAGAAGGAGTGCAAGAGAGAGATCAAATTGGAAGTAGAATCTTAAGTTAGTATGGCGGTTGAACTGGAAGCACACCCTTGCTATCCCTTCTGTATAATAGTGGACTTCAACAATAAGTTTAGGCTTAGGTACATCTAGAAGTATTATCCTTTTTTATCTTAATTGTGAAATGGGTGAGGCTAGAATTCAAAATTAGGGAGACCCATCAAAGGTTGAACGATATAAGTTTACGGGGTTCAAAGGGAATAAGGGACCACATTGAAAAAACCAATACTTTAACGGGAACCAACTTAATAAATCTCCAGAATTACATCTCTCTTAGATGTGAGTTTTCAATGGGCAGACCGAATTGGTAAAGACAGGTCTCGAAGGAATGAGCTACAAGGGTAGGTGCCTGAGCAAGCATCATAAGAAAATGAGGCCAAACTGCAATTTCTAAAATTAAGGTAGGCCATGGTGTTCCTTGATCCTAAAGTGACTATGCAATTTTCGACTAACTAATATTGTAAAACTTCATAGTGACTCTATGATCATTTGCTAGGGTAGTTTCCTAGTGGAGTACGACATCGTTTTTTTTTTCTTCCTCTTTTTCTTTTCTTTGTTTTTTTTTGGGGAGGGGGGAGTGGGAGTGGGAGAGGGAGAGGGAGAGGGGACTTGAGGCCTTGACCAAAGTCTTCACAAGACGAGGAATACCATTAGACCAGAGGTCCATAGAGAACTACATCAATTGCGAGGAGTTATGTCTAATGCAAACGTGAGGGCAAAGTCGCCAGACTTGATTTACCATTGAATCAAAGGTCCGTTGGTATGGAGTACAACATATGGAGCACTTAATTGTATCCTACGTAGTGCAGTTATATTCAGCTACTAATTCCAAAAAAAAAGTTGAATACAATATCATGAGTTATAAAAAATAAAAAAAAAATAAAAATACAGGATTATAGTGCCAATGAGTTGCGTAGTGATGCCTATGCTATTTGATTTGATCTATAGTTTGGGGGTTGCACACATTGACCAAGTTCCAAACCTTGAATCCAAAAATAGATTTTTTGATCTATCATCAAGGGAAGAACTATTCTTTTCTTGATTGGATTAATATTATTGAAATTGCTTGTTAATTCAAAACCAATAAAGTGATTGACCAGTAATGTTGTGAATCTATGATTGCTAAAGTGGTTGTAAAGCTTTGATTGTGTCTTGCCAGTATTGCTAAACTCTTTTTGCTTGAAAGAAGAAATGATAAAAGTAAGAGTATTTTATGTAGATTTTTTATGAACGTAATGCAAAATTCTGTAGACAGTGACAATTGAACAAAAAAGAATAAAAATAGAAAGGTTATAGCAATCAGAGAAAGAAAGGCATTAAGCAATGACAAAAGACAGATTAGGAATCACTTGTTTTGTTTATTTTTTTCTGATGGCATGTGGTGTTTGAAGAGTTGCGTATTGACGAGAACATGCAAGAATTGAAAGGCAAGGATGAAATAATAGCGAAGAAGGAGAAGTTAATCAAAGAGAAGTCTGATAACATTGCATTGTTGCAGAGCGAAATATCTTCTCTCCAAGTGAGGCATCAGGATCCCTTGACTGAGTCATTTTGCTTTTATGTCTTAAGTTCTACCATGCTAAGGCAACTATAATTGTTATGCTTGCTCCACATGTTTGTAACAAGTTTCAATTGCGTTGTGTGTTAGAAAAAAGGGACTTCAGATGCTCAGGAGCAGGTTGGGAAGGCTCATGCATGGGCTGTCGAATTAGAGAAGCAGGTTAGTCCTGTGCCCAAAAAATCTGTTTACTTGTCTTATAATACACCTGTTCTGAGTTTTGTGTGTCTCTTCTTCGCAGCTGGAGAAATTAAAAATTGAAATACAAGTGAAAAATAAGGAAATAGAGGCCTTAGAAGTCCGGACAAATGACGCGGAGAAGAAAGTGCTTGAGTTGAATTCGAAACTGGGGAGTGTAAGTTCTTTGATTGTTAGAGTTTTGTGAAGGTCTATGTGGTGGGAGCTACACTTTCATATCTTAGAATTTGCATATTGCTTTAGAAGATGTAATTTTTGTCACACTCGATGATACTCTATAAGAAATTTTGTGCTTGATTTTTTTGGTTGCTATCTTATTTGTTGCATGATGGTAATTCTCTAATCTTGATAGTTTGGTTGTTGAGTGAATTGGCTGGTGATAGTCTTTCCCTTCTCTTTTTAAATTTAGGTTTTTTTAACCTTCGAAACATCTAACCCAAATGCACGATCATCGTTTTCGCAAGGTTTAGGGACATCTGGTGCCCACTAAAAATGGCTAGGATGCTATCCAACTTCAAACGTGAAATAGGGGGATTTCATGATATATATATCTTATTAATTTGATGTAGATGTAAATTTCCTAGTAGCACTAATAATAGAGAAGAGAACTTGTCGGGCTGACTAACATTATTGAATACTCTCATTTGCTTGGAAAATTTGATCCTGTAAGCTTAGGAAGTGTTAGTTTGTTTCCATAGGAAAACAGGATTTGAGCATCTCAAATTTTCTTTAATCCTCATGTTACAATCTTGAAATAATTGACATGGAATTGTATAGATAAACTATTTGCAAGTTTTACAATGTTTAGAAATTTATAAAGTAAATCACCTAAATGGCCCCTAAATTATATTAATTATTTCGGTTATGCCCTTTAACTAATTTTTGTCTCAATTTACCCCTTAAACTTTTAACTTGAACCAATCCAACCTTCTGTCTATATTATCATCAAATAAATTGCACAATATACCCTCCACACTTAGCATAATATTAGAACTACCCTTGGAGTACAGTAATTTTACACTAACCTATACAAAGACTTTCTAGTTGGCTTTTAAGTTTTAGTGCTTCATTGCATAATGGTTTATCGTACTTTTAGCCCCTGTCGAGGATTAAGTATTCCTAAGTTAAATAATGTTACTAGTTGCCATTTCAGATGGCATTTCTTGTGGTTATTGTGTTTCAATCTCTCTTTTTTGTAGACTCAGATTATGATAAAGTTCATGATTGATGCTTAAACCTGAATTTATTGTACAAATAATTGATGAATTTTCAGATATGTAAACAATATCATATGCCTTTTATACCTTTCGGGGTCAATCTCACTTTCTGTTTTTTGTCCTGAAATTTGCTCTCTGTTGCCATATTTGGAGCTAGATGTTGGGTACTATGACTTGTCTTTGAGTTACATGAATAAAGACACATCACCTATGGCCTTCAAGAGTTCCCTTTTAATCTCAATACGACATAATAACCTTTGTATCTCTTGTGATATAGAGGACTAGCTAATGCCCATGTAATACAAAAGTTGCCAAAGAACATACATTTGAGATCAATTCTTTTAGCACCATTCCAACATCATGTGAAACCAACAAAAAGAATGCATAAATGCATATAGCCATTTTGCATCTTAATGAGATGAGGCTTCCATGGTTTCTTAAATGAGAAAGTTTTACATTCAAAAATTAGATCTAACTTCACTCTCATAACATTTTTTTCATCAGCCAGGCAGTTAAAATTGATTTATTGTGTTTGGCCATTAAGATAAAAAAAAAAAAAACAGAGATGAACCTTGAAGGCCCAAGACTATTACTCTTTCAAAACTATCACCACATAGAACCACCTTCAAACATCATAAAGAAACCCTACCCAACATAATAGAGATCAAAATCATCAAGCCTAAGTTCTACTATAAAAAAGGCAGAGCACAAAGAGAAAACAAAATGAAATCAATAAGAACCAAAATCTTCTTCACATGATATTACATGGCTAGCATCAAAACAAATGCAATATAAATATCGAAATGCCCATGCTGCTTCAATGCATATGATATAATATATATCAAAGCAATAACTAACCCAATTTCAAGATTCCATACTAAACCAATTCACTTTTTTCGAATTCAATGTTGTTTATCCACATTGCTTCAAATCAGATAAATCAAAACTCAAATAAATCATATTAACAATATATAAAGGTAAACTAATTTGATCATTTCAATGCATAGCATGGATCAATTTCAACTGCCAAAAATCAATGATTCAATTTATGTAACACAAAACTACCCAGCAGTTACCCAACCATTCCAATGAAGAACTTACCCAATTTTTCCTGGCCACCATCCACATCTTCACCACTATTGAACCGCTTGTTCTCATAAATTATTGAAACTATAATTGCTGTAAAAACTAAAAATTACACCAACTGATAAAATAATAGCACTGCATTGCTCGTAGACGACCTCATGTAGAATTAAATTATAAGGATCATGCTAGAAAAAATATCTAGGCCTTCTAAGATTCACTGCTAAGCCCATGAAGAACTGTGTGAATCCCTGGAATACCACTGCCAGCCAAACATACAGAGGTGTTATGCTGCGTGTTGAACTCAACCCCCCTGAAATTATCCAGATCCCTATGTCCAAGTAAGCCAAACCCAAAGCCCCACTGAAAATAGCAGAAGAAATTGTCGATGATAAGTAGCATTTAAAGGATGGGGAGGCTACCAATTTGGTTGAAGCCTTAAGCAAAATCATAAATAAGAAGGTGACAACTGAAGGTTATCAACCGAAGTAATCAAAACATTGTTTATGCATGAAAATGGGTCAAAAATTGCCCAAAACATAGGACAAAAAAAAAAAAAAAGGGACAAAATAAAATTTGCCAAAGTTTGTTAGAGAAGGGAAGAGAAAAAGGGGAAGGCTCACCTTGAATCGATTTGGCATGTCAATTCCAAAAGAGACATAATTTTCCAAGATTAAACGCAATTTGAATCCATCTTTACCCTTATACCTGTAACCCCCAGAACAATTTTTTCATTTGCCAACATTCAAATTTGATCTAATAGATGCAAAAACTATGCTATGCTAATGTCATACTGAAACTCGATTCTTTCAACACCTGGATTTTTCTTGAGTACTCCAGAATCCGTTGACACTTGACACAGGTAGTCCCATTGACAATTTTGCCATATCTTCTGCCAAGCAAAAAGGTCTATTCTGCCGTAATGGTGAACCAATCAAACAATTTTGGATATTTTAGACAATCAACATACATATGAAACAATAACATAAAAAATCCCAACATGAACAACCACCAATTTTCAAACCAATAAATATACATTAAACAGAAGAAACTAGGAAAAAAAAAGTTGCAACAATGTCTAATCTTGGATGCTGGATTGCAAATGGTAAATACTAAATCAGTCTTTAAAATGAATTCTAAAATTTATCTATTTTTTTCGTGGTCTACTGGTGCTACAATTGCAAGAGTACTCAAATCTGTGCTTCAGGGATTATGCTTTCTTCTAAAGGGATATGAATACTTATTTTTCTCGTACAAACCCATGGTTATTTATTTTGGTGAAGCTAAGGGAATTAATTTTCTGCTTAGGTATCTTTGGAAGCCAAGCAAAAAATGCTTAGCTATGGAATTCTAATAACAACTATGACATTCTATGGAATTCTAAATACGTGTAGGTCAAATGATGATTCCAAGATTGCCTCATCTCATTAAGATGCACTTGGGAATCAAAATTTTGGAGAGAGAGATTGACCGAGATTGACCTACAAAGCTTGTGATCGATTTGTTTCACAACTCCAAATCTTTACATTATACTTTTGCTTTTCTCCACCTTTTTCATCTTTAACAATAATCGAAAAAAAATTAGCAGTTTTGAGAAATTTTGTCGAATGTGTGAGATACTCAAGAAACTATATCAATCCAATAAAAGTAAGTAAAAAAACAGAGAACATCAAGAGATATTGACCTAGCTATAGGGTAGTTGCAAAGGCGAATCATGATGGTGGTTGTTTGGAGAAATTAGATAATCTAAATGAAAAACCTTCTCGTTTACCTTGCCAATGCAGTTTTCAAAGATCTTTCCAGAGAGGAGGCAACAACGGCGTCGGTATGAATCGATCGAGCCCTATCGTGGAAGTTTTCGTGTGTGTCTGTGTGCTTGTGCAGAAAGAAGTGGAGAGATATAGGGATGACAAACCTGGCGGAGAACGAGGGAGAGGAATAGCAACGATTTTGCTATGAATCAATCCAATAAACTATAAGCAGAGTAGTAAGCAGCTTCGACCAAGTAAAGCCAAAAGAGAGAAGACTTGGGCGAGATGCTGACTGTTGTTAGCTGCCGGAGAGACAAGGGATATTAGGGCACCGACATAGGTATTAAAGGGGCTTGTTTTAGAAAGAAGAAGATTTGAGGCGTGATTGAGGGCTTGGGAGAGAGAGAAAATTTGGGTGAGACATGAGGATAGATATAGAGGGGGTCTTTGTTTCGAAAGGAAATGTGGGGGAGAAAGAGTGGATATTTGGGTGAGAGGAAGTTAGTGCAAATTTGGGTGTGGTTGAGGATAAGTGAAAATTGGATACTTTTAGGTGAGGAAAAATTTGTATGATTCATTTTTAGTCCATTGGATGTACAATTTTAAAATGATCATAGACGTTAATAGCTTGAGATAAGATTGAGTAAACGTCGTCCGTGGGATGCTGCTAGAAGTTTTTTTCTATTTCAAATTAATCTGAGCCGCTTTTTGTCTTTGGTTCAAAAACAACTCTTCTTTATTATATAGATAGACATATAAACCATATAAACAAAATAGGAAATGATAGCTAATGAAAGATTTTGACAAAGATTTTAAAAAAAAGGATTTTGTTAGATATATGGACAATTACATTACTTAATAAACTGTTCAAAGGAAAGCTTTACTCACACATTATACTCAAACACTTAAAATAAACATTCAAAATAAACTCTTTTTTTTTTTTTATAAAAGAAGAATTTTATTATTGAAGGGAATAAAGAGCATAATCCAATGTAGTGGACAAGATATCATCCATAAAAAAGATTTAAGCAAAGGAAAAAGATTGGAAAAAATGAAACTAAGGTATAACTGCTATCCAGTTCATTTGAAAATCCGACAAAGGCAACCCTCTAAAACTTTTTGTAGCTTTAGTTCAA